AGCAACTCACCACATCAAGTACAATAATCCATAACACAAACCCAAAACTAACCACAACTGTTCCCTATGAAGCCTTCTCACCGGACACTGCCTACACCAAAGACGGCATTCTCGTGTGACATTATCGACGAGGTGTGCCTGGCGTGTTTATGCTCATGCTTCAGACATTTTGCCAGTGTTTTCAACTTGCCACGCAGTGGTGACGACTCACGGAGCAACATGCCCGTCTACCAAGCATGGCCTTTTCATGGGCGTTTATTTACACTGCGGCCGTGCTGATAGGACCGAAAGCTCTCAATACTATCATTGTCCGCGGCTGCCATGCTCAAAAAGTAGCAATCAAAACATTTTGCTCAGGATGAGCAGACGCACAAGATTGTGGGTAGTGGTATGCCTCTTCGCTGCAGGGGCATGGGAAGCGCCCTTCGTCCCGCCCGTTGACAAAAGCACATCCGCGATCATGGCTGCTGCACCTATGTGGTTGTCGGAGCAGGCTATGGCAGCCACGTCAGAAAGCGTACAGCCCGAGAAGGCCGGGCTTTTGGATTATCTTGGAGGTGACGTGAAGGTCCTCGTGGGTGCCTTGCTGGGAGCGGTCATCAACACCAATGTGAGGGAGTTTTTGGGCGGCATCAACCAAAACAATGACTTGCAGTTCCAGATGCTTCGGGACGGCTTGGCTGAGCTGAAGAAACAGAGCAAAGAAGACTTGACCGAGCTGAAGGGGCAGATCATAACGAAGACGGACGTTGTCGTGACGTTGTCCGTTCTGACCGGTTTCACAGGCATATGCGTAGGCCTGTTCTCTGTGCCAAAGGCGTAGATGGCCCATCGCAACCATGGCGTGGCAGTGAGTAAGGTACAGACTCTGCTCCCATATGTGCCCGCCGAGAAAAGACAGTGCACCTGTTACTGTGTGAGCCTGACAATGGCCTTGATTGTTGATGCCAAACTGAAGTTTCGTCCTTCATTCATGTGACGTGCTCACGTGGCAGGTTTCATCAGCAGCACCAGCGGCCTTGGTCTCGTGCCTGTGTGGGTTCAGGTTTGGGGTTGCGGTGAAGGCTTGCTTGGGAAGGTTTTTTGTGTTACTCCCGTCACTTTGACGGAGAAGGTGTGCAAAACCCGCCTCCGCTGGTTGTTCAGTGTCTTTTGCTGTTTCAGAAGCAGTAATAGCATATGCACGTATAATACCACACAAAAGCAAAATGCAGCATCCAGTGTAGATAATTGCATGGGTTTAGGGCATAGATAAACCCATAAAATCAATATTTTTCACAACACATGCTAACACCCAATACAAAACAAGCAAAATGCACAAAGCACACAAAAGAAAACAAACGCACTATATTTCTTCGTGCAACATTTCCGAACTTTGGATCTGTAGCAGGTTTTTTACACCTTTAATAATTCATGCCTTAAATATCCCCTATTCGTATCTTCTAAAAAGTAGTAGTTTTGACTTAACTTTTTATCTATTCGTTGAACCGTTTGGGGGGTTTTCAACCAATGACTGGTATGTTCTTTTTCACTGATGCCTTTTTTGCGCATTATTTTAACACTATCACCCACCTCTTCTTCGGGGTATTTTCTATTACGCTTTGCTTGTAAAGATATGTTTAATTTAACTTCAAATTCATTTTTCTTTTTGCGCGCTTCCAATGGTGTCATTTTAGTAGTGGATGAAACCATTT